CGAACCGCAGTCGACTACGTGGGAGTCCAGCGACATAGCCATTACACTAACTGCTGGTTCCCATGATTCACTTTTTATATTTAATCTATTTTTTAATTTTTGCTATAGGGCTCTTGTACTCACTGGGAGAAAAACAGAGAGTCAGAGAGAGAGAACCATCTGTGAGCACTCTTCATGCCAAGCTTTTTACCTCCCATATTCCAGGATCTGTGCTGGCTGCTGGGGCCTCTGTCATGGACAAAACCATTTCTGGCCTAAAGGAGCTTTAAATCTGGTGGAAGAGGCAGATAAGTCTAAGAATTCAATTTTTAAATTTCTTTAATTTTATCTATTATTATTTTTAAAAATTTGCTATAAGGCATGTTTTCTCATCAGAGAAAGATGCAGGGGAGAGAGAGAGAGGAAGGGAAAGTGAAAAAGCAAGCCACCAGGTCCAGGGCTTGAACTGTAGTCAACCATGTTAGAGTCCAGTCTCTTAACCACCATGCCACCTGCTGGCCCCAGATAGGTCTGAATTTAAAATCATCCACTCATTCATTGTTTATTATAAAATGCAGGCCTACCTATGTTCCATTACTTAGATGATTAAATTTTGTGGTGGTGGTGGTGGTGGGGCTATGGAATCAGGGTGGGCAGGGAATTAGGGAAATAGCTCATAGTTTCTTTTCCTTCTAGGTGGGTCTCTTGTCAGCAGTCCCACACATGGTTATGACAATCATTGTGCCTATTGGAGGACAACTGGCTGATTATTTAAGAAGCAGAAAAATACTGACTACAACTACTGTCAGAAAAATCATGAACTGTGGAGGTACTGTGGGTTGCAGAGGTAGCTTAAGCAGATTTGTAGAATTTGTTTTAGAGGAGATGTCTCAGTATTGGAATAGATCTTAAAGACTCCCAGGTCCATCCCCTAGCAGACACTTGAGTGTCATCCACCTCACCCCTGCCATGTGGTCATCCAGCCTGTATTTGTGCAGTCTGGCCTATGATAACTAACTGGTGGCCAAAAAAGCAAGACACAACTGCAGAAATGCTTCTTCATCTACCCTCAAGCCAAAATGTGACTTTCAGTTACACAACTGTTTGTTGCTTATCTTTTCCACACATCCTTCCACATTTATTGCTTTTTTTTTTTTTTTTTTTTTTTTTCAATTTTTTACCCTCACTTTTTATTTTGCTGCTTGAAACCTAAGTGACAGTATGCCACTATAATTATGGGGTTTCATCTAAACCTTTACTACACTGCAGGTACAGAAATATACGGACACATTTTTGGAGAATTGACATTTTGCAAAATGCAGCAAACATTTTAATTTATACATGAGAAAAGGAAGTGTTCAAAAGGGTATGCATTTCAAGTTATTGCAGGTTTGCTTTTTTTTATGTAGTTTATTCTTTTTTCTCCTTCCTTTTCTACCTATATATATGTTTTGGTAAGAAACAGAAGAAAAGTATCCCCTTTGAATAACCATCTTTTCTCCCAGTGTATGCTTGTGTATGGATGTCTCTGCACCTGAGTGTACACACACATGAATACACACATACAATTCTGTTTTATGATTTATTTAGATACTGTTTTGTGTGTTGACTTTGCGAAGATAAAATGGAAGTTAGGTGATTTCCAAAAAGAGGAAGGCAAAAATAATCATGAACCTTTACCCATGTTCATGATTGCTTACCCTTTTAACCTCTTCATTTCCTTACAGTCTTTTCTATTTTGCTTTTTAAATGAGCAGTTAAATGCTTTTTGTGTCAGACACTAAGCTAGGTGTTTTACACATATCTTATTAAACCCTTATAACTGTCACGTGGAACAGACAATGCTACTGTATGCAATTTATAGTGAGGACACAGGGGAAATAGAGTGGCTTGCTAAGTGGTAGATTCTGTCCAAGATATTGTTGCTAATGCTCTTAGTCACTCTTTGCTGTGACCTCTCCCAAAGGTCTGGGTTCAAGTTGAAGTTGTGAGAGGTAAAGGATAGCACATCTCTGGGAAAGGAATCTCAACTGGGATACTAAATGGCAAAGGTGGGAATGAGCATGCTCTGACTCTGGATTAGAGGATTCAAGTTCATTCAGAATCAAAAACATGGAGGAAGCCAGGAGCAGACATGATATATCATAGCATTAGTCTGACCAGTGAGACTAGGAAGAGTCTTTCTTATTCTTTTGCTTTTCTTTAATGCTGAATCAGACTTCGGTGACCTCTCTGAGTATATGCATATGACTTGGGTGGCAACTCATCATGTGCTATCATACTATAGCCCTCTCAGGAGAATGTTTTAGGCACAGGGAATAACATGTGCAGTAGCCCTGACGTAGACACAAATGTAGCATATTTGAGAGCAGAAGGAAGAAAAGGCAGTGATGGGAAATGGGATTGGAATACTCAGTTGAAGTCACAGGATCACAGGAGGCCTTGTAGACAGACATGTGGAGAGCTTGCATTTTATTTGAAGTACATGAGAAGCAAATGGTTTAAAAGAAGAAAAAGACATGATCTGATTTATGTTTCCAAATCTGGAGAATGGAATGCAGAGCACAAAAGTAAAAGAAAGGAGACCACGGAGGAGGCTATTTCAGTTGACCTGTCAAGAGAAGGAGGTGGCCTAAATGTGGTGGCAATGGAGGTAGAAAGAGGTAGATAGGTTCTTGAATTCTCTGAGCCAACTTTCCTCCTCTTTAAAATCTAAGTAGTGGGACCTTCAGTTAGCGTAATGACTATGTCACTGGACTCCCATGTAGTCAATCACAGTTTGCGTCCTGGACCCAGTGGCTTAAAACTCACACCGGGCATGTGTGTGTGTGTGTGCCCAAGATCCTGAGAAGAGAATGGAGGAGAAGGGATTGCCGTGTGGCCATCCCCTCAGGGGGTGATTTCTCGTTTTCTGTCTCTCTGTCTCTCTCTGTCTGTCTGGCGAGCGCATGCACCCTATAGCAAAAACCTCTAAAAAAAAAAAATCTAAGTAGTACTATTCACTTCAGATGATAATTATGAGAGTTAAATAAAATGATATAGAAATGTACCTAGCATGAAGTACCTCGCATGAAATAACCTTCTATAGAAGGTTATTTACAATTGCTAAAACATGGAATCAACCCAAATGTCCAAAAACCAATGACTGGTTTGAAAAACTGTGGCACATATATCTAATATTACAGTTATAAGAAACAGTGGGACCCTACCATATGATTCAAAATGGATGAATATAGAAGACTTAATGCTGAGGGAAGTAAGTCAGACTTGAAAGACACACATTGTATATCCCCACTCAATTTGTTCTGGGTGCTATGGCAGAGACTGAGAGACTTGAAAATGTGATGGTAGAGGGGATGGGTGTAAATACTAGAGACCTAATTGGGGGAGTGGATGGTAGAGAGTGGGTAGTGGAGGGTTGGTGTGAGGTGCAAGGGGAAGAAACATTTGACAGACAAAAATATAAAATTCACTGTTAAAAAAAAAGTATCAGTATAGAAAGTCTCTGAACTGTGACATTAAAAAAAAGAATTTTAGTTCTCTATTTTTCAATTATAGAAAATAATTACTGTAGTAAAGGGTAACAAGTTCAAAAAGGATTTTGATGCTGCTGTCATTTAATACTCAATACAAAAAAAAAATAAGGTTTTCCAACAAGTGTTAGTGCCTGTGCCTTCTCTTGTGTTTAAGATATTGGAAAAATTGGAAGTTTTCCCAAAGGAAGTATTCAACAAATATCTGTTATCTACTATATATCTCTTGGCCAAAAATATGCATTTTTGAACCAGCGATAGGAAAGTTCTAGATTTTAACATTCTTTGCCCAATCATTTCTAAGCCAAGATGCTTTGAAGATTCTTAAACATATTTTCTAGGAATGTCTCATTCATAAAAAATTCCACTCTAATAAATTTGCCACTGTTTCTTCATAATTGGTAGTGATGGGATTGGGTGACAGTGATGAAAACTCTCAGATTTTTAAGTGTTAACAAAGTCCCTATCGAGGGTAAATTTTTAACTTTTTTTCTGTGAAAATGAGAATGAATGTATTTCAGTTCCTCTCCATCTTTAAAAATACCTCTCAGGGGCTGGCAGGTGGCATGGTGGTTAAAGGTTCTGGATTCCCACTTGGCCAGCTGAGGTTCAAGTCCCAGACCTGACAGCTTGCTTTCTCACTTTCCCTTTCTCTCTCTGGTCAAATTGAAAATAATAATGAGTGGAATTGATTAAATAAATAATTCCTTAAAAAGCAAAACAAAACAAAAATACCTCTCATATGTCTTTCATGGTGTGTGTGTGTGTATGTAAGTGTGTGTATGTTTTGGAATATTTTGACATACTAAGAATAGTGAGTTCTATGTAAAAATTTAAAATTTTTTTCTTTTTCCTTTTTAAGTTTTTTGCCATAGGTCATGTGCACTTACTGGAGACAGACATAAAGAGGGACTAGCAAATGGCATAATGGTTACATTGCTAGACTCCCACAGGACTGACCACGGTTTGAGTCCTAGAACCGGAGGCCTGACAGTCACACTGGGTGTGTGTGCGTGTATGCCCCAAATCCCAGGAACAGAATGGAAGAAAAGGTATTGTGGTGAGGCCATGTCCTTTGAGAGGTAATTCCTCACTTTCCCTCACTGTTTCTCTCTCTGGCAAGTGCACATGCCCTGTGGAAACAAAAACAAAACCTTATAAAAGTTCTATAAAATAAGCAAGAAGAAGGAGCGGATGTCAGCTTCCCTGTTTGGGAGTAGGTTGTCAGGGCAACTTTTTAGAAGAATCAACTTTGATCTTGGGCTTTACTTATTTATTATTATTATTATTGTTTTTTAGAGAGATTTTTGCCATAGGGTGCATGCAGTCACTGAAGAAACAGAGACAGAGAGACAGAAAGTGAGAAACCACCCCCAGGGGGGATGGCCATGCTGCAATCCCTTCTTCATTCTCCCCTTGAGATTTTGGGCATGCACACACACACACCCAGTGGAGTGTCAGGCCTCTGGTTCTAGGACTCAAACCGTGGTCAACCATGTGGGAATCTAGCAATGTAACCATTATGCCATTTGCTAGTCCCTTGATCTGGACTTTAAAGGATAATGAGATTTCTCCAGAAAAAGAGAAAGTGGTGGGACGACAGTATCTTAGTTGAAAGATCAGCATGTGAAAATGTGGGCACGAAGCAATGTTGTGTGTTAGGAAATAGCTAACAGAGTGCTGTATGTGACTAGGATGGTGAGCAGGGAGGTGAGGGCTGGCAGAAGATGAAACTGAGAGAGCAGGAAGAACTATTCAGTAGCAGTGTACCAATGATATGGAACCCCTGACCGCCCGCTCAAAGGAGTGACTTATCAGGTGTGTGGTTTAGAAAGGCAGTGGCATGGTTGGCAGATCGGAGGAGGAAGAGATGGGAAGGCCACCAAAGAGGAGATTGTAGTTTTCCAGGTGAGAGGCAATAGGGCCTAGGACCAAGGTGGTGGCAGAGGAGAGGAAAGCAGAGATTGGGTGTGACAGATATTTCTAAGGCCAAACCCACAGATTTGATGAGAAAGTTGAGAAGGAAGTCCAGGACAGTTCTGAAAATTCTGTGTTGGATTTCCGGCTACCATTGGTTGAGCTGTGCCCACGTGCGCTACTCAGCACCTGTGTGTGTCTGATTTCATTCATCCCCCAGTGTCCCTGAAGGTTGTATTATCTCCACGTTGGGAGGTGAGGAAGATAATGACTTGAAGTAACTTGTCCAAGGTCACACACTTAGTGATTTTTTTTCCTTTTTTTTTTTTCTTCTTTTTGGAGAAGTTTTTTTTGTTACAGGGCACGTGCGCTCGCCAGACAGACAGAGACATAGAGAGAGAAAGCGAGAAATCACCCCCCCAGGGGGGATGGTCACGCCGCAATCCCTTCTCCTCTATTCTCCTCTCATACACTTCGTGATTTTGAGGTAGAATCTGAACCCATGCCGATCTGATTCTGAGGTCTGGGTTCTAAGCGCATGTATATAGACAGTTAATTTAAAGAAAGAGGAGAGAGAACAGGCTGGTGGTGGTTTGCTTTGTTTGTTTAGCAGTAAATGGGAGAATGCAGACTGCTATTTTTGATGTAACTGTAGGACAATCGTGCGGAGATGTCTAGCGTCAGCAGACTGTCTCCAGAATGAACTGCTAATTGTTTTCCCATCCCCAGGGCTCTTCATATGCTTGGACATGGTATTTATATCATTCTTCTTTCTGCTGTTGGCTGGACTTGTTTTTCTTTCTTTTCTTTCTTTCTTTCTTTCTTTCTTTCTTTCTTTCTTTCTTTCTTTCTTTCTTTTTGTCAGAAAGAACTTCTTTATAATTTCCTCATCTTTTCTTATTGGGCTGGATTTACTTATTCTGGATGAAAGGAATAGAAAGTACTTTCATCTTGCTGTATTTTATGTACAAATATCTCATTTTTTAAAAAAAGAGGTCTGAGAACTTCATGAACTTTTGAAAGAGAGAATTTCCTTTTTATCAAATTGTAGGTTTTTGCCATGGGGTGTGTTGGCTTGCCAGAGGTGTGGGGAGTGAAAAGTGGCCAAGGGGATGGCCATGCCATAATCCCTTCTCCTCCGTTCTCTCCCGGTGTGATTTCCACACTGCCAAGTCCAGGATTCTAACTACAATCAGCCATGTGGGAGTGTAGCGTCTTAACCACCACACCACCTGCTGACCCTGAAAGGGAAGAATTTTGACTTGTGCTTTACCAGCACTGAGGTGCTGCTTTTTGTTTCAGATGTTTGTTACAGCTTTCTGGCCACCTTTGGCAACAAATACTACAGTTGTCATCTTATTTTTTTTAAAATTATTTATTTAATTTTATTTATCATTATTATTATTGATTTGCTATAAGACACATCTGTTGACCAGAAAGACAGACAGAGAGAGAGAGAGAGAGAGACAAAGAGAGGAAAAGTGAGAAAGCAAGCCACCAGGTCTGGGACTCGAACCATAGTTGGGAGTCCAGTACCTTAACCACCATGTGACCTGCTCACCCCTGTTGTCATCTTAATTTAATGTGAAAGGTCATAATTCAGGTAGTCAAGGGGAATTCACTGACAGTATACTACAGCAGAGTTTTAGTATTTAGAAATGGCACAGGCAACTATCCATAAAGCAGCTAATAATCAATATCCCTCATCGGGCATGGGTAACTACCTACAAAGCAGCTAATAATCAATATCCCTCATCCCAGGAGCCCCTCTGGAACCTATTGGGGCCATTTGGTGTAATGTCAGAAGGTTCAGAATGCCTGGGTAACATTGGCAAAGTTATGAAATACCCCGGTAATATTGTAAGCACTGTGCTATAATATATATACCAGGTCCATGGAAATATAGATGAATTTTTATTTGATAAAGTAATGGATTTGAGATGACTAACATGGAAATAACATTTCCCCCCTACTGTTTCTATTTGCAGGTTTTGGCATGGAGGCAACCTTACTCTTGGTGGTTGGCTTTTCCCATACCAAAGGAGTGGCTATCTCCTTTCTGGTGCTTGCTGTAGGATTTAGTGGCTTTGCTATTTCAGGTAAAGTGTCCTTTGGGTTTCCAAGACTTGTCTATAGATGCAGCAAGTCTTGGGAGGAGGGAAGGACAAGGATATTGTAGCCAGGCCATTCCTAAAGAGCAGGGTCATTAATTGGGGAATTTCATCGAGTGGGGGTGACTTTGTAAAATCACAAGGTGGACGTGTCCCTCCTTCCTCTGACATGAGAAAGGACATAAAGTGCAAGTGAGCATTCCCTTCCCCAAAGCACAAGAAGAGGCCCAAGCAGGTGTTCTGGGTGAAGTGGACATCCACACCTCAGCACCAGGTCACCCTACCTAAAAGAGGCTCTTGTGACTGCTTTAGTCTTCACCTTCTAGAGAACTGCTAATGGTAGTCCAAATGATGGCATCATTTGATGTCCAGTCATAGAATCAGAAGTTTTTTCAAATGGAAAGCTTTGGATTCGGTCTACTCCTTTGCCTTCATTTTCCAAATAAGAAAATGCAGGCCCCACAAAGGAGAAGTGGCTTTCCGATGGAGCAGAACAGGTAAGGGTGATGATGATGTGAGCTAATATTGATCACCACAGACTGGTTCCAGGACTGTTCAAAACCCTCTAAAAAGCCTTGTCATTCCCTCAACTACCATTGGTGGCATCAGAGTATCAGGATCCCTATTTTATAGGCGCGGAACTGGTCTACCATATATGTGAGGCCAGAGTGCAACCATATTAGATCTTTAGACTTCAGAGGATCCCTGTGCAAAACTAGATGAAAAAAGAAAATTCAGTTTTTTGTACGCCTGAAACATATTACAGAACTGGTCCCATAGCCTTGTGGTTGAAGAGCCAGAGCCCACACAGCTGACTAAAGTTCAAATTCTGGCCCTGGTGGTCTTAAAACCACATCAGGCAACTACTTGTTCATGCCCCAAATCCTAACAGGATAGAGAAATGGAGAAGCAATTGTAGCATGACCACACCTACTAAGAGGGATGCTTTTTTTCTGCCCCTGGTGAATGCATGAACCCTCTGACAATTCAAAAAAATTAAAAAGGTCATATTGTTAACAAAAATGGTCACATATGAACAGAAAAATGTAGAAACTCTAATCTAAACTATCCTAAAATAGGGGCTTGGTGTATGAAGAAACTTCAACAAGTTTGTAAGATTAATTAATCTTGCAGCTGTTTTATATTCTCATGGTCTGGCACTTTGATCTGAAAGAGAAGGTATGTTTATTACAAACATGGTTTATTTTTTCAGAAATTCTCTCAGAACTGAAGTAGAAATGTGCCAGATTGAAAAAAAAAATTTTTAATCTTATTTTTAGGTTCTTTGCACAGAATAAAGAATTTAAAAGAAAAGCAAAGAAAAAAATGATAAATAAACTTAACATCTTTTGCTGTAATTTCAATTCTTAAATTGGCAATCAATTCAACCACTATTTATTGAGGGACTACTCTGTGCTAGTCAATTTACTGGTTCAGGGAAGATGGTGGTAAACAAGACAGCTGGCTAACCCCTGTAAAGAGCATAGATGTTGTTTTCACCTCTATATGCTATGTAATTATAAAAAAATTGCCAGAGGACCAGCCATTGGCATAATGGCTATGTTGCTGGACTCCCACGTAGTCGACCGTGGTTCACGTCCTGGACCCGGTGACTTAAACTCACGCCAGGCGTGTGTGTGTGCGTGCCCAAGATCCCGAGAGGAGAATGGAGGAGAAGGGATTGCCGTGTGGCCATCCTCCCTAGGGGGTGATTTCTTGCTTTCTCTTTCTCTCTCTCTCTCTGTGTCTTTGTGGCGAGTGCACATGCCCTATAGCAAAAACCTCTCAAAAAATAAATGAATAAATAAATAAGTTGCCAGAAAGCATGTGCACTAATGGGAGAAATGAAGGGAAGAAGAGAGAGGGAGAGTAGGGGAGTAAGAATGCACCTTCCATGGGACATGATCATGCTGCAATCCCTTCTTCTCCATTTTTTCCTCCTTTAGGAATTTTGGGAATTCATGCACAAGTGCTCAGAATGTTTTTCAAGCCACTGGGTCTGAGACTTGCAGCGCACAGCTGGCCATGTGGGATCCAGCCACTTCACCATTGGCTGGCCTGATACAGTCCATGTAATTAATATACATTATGTAACTTAATAAAGGCTGAAAACTTACTTGTTTTGGGGTGGAAATAACTTTTACATCTACATTTATAGATTCCAAATCACCTGTGTGAAAGTAATTCATAACTTACAGGGATTTCTGCTGACGTGCAGATGTTTATATCGAAAAAAACCCACACCATTTCCGTTATGTAGATGACCACTTGGATAGCCTGACCCATGGCTGCTTTTAGAAGTGAGTCAAGGGCTAAGAGCAGGCATACTGCGAGTCAGGGTTTGGTTCTGATCATACCGTGTGTGGTATTTGCTCTGCATAACCACAACCTGAGCTGGAAGCTCTTTAGTATTGCCCCAAATGCCTTATTTTGTTAGTTTAGTTTTTCATTTGCCAGAGGGTGTGTATTCTCACTAAGTGACGGAGAAGAGAGTTAGGAAGGGAGAAATCACCCTTCAATGGGACCTGGTTATGCCACAATCCCTTCCATTTCATTTCTCCATCCTGGGATTTTGGGCATGTGTGCACGTGTGCCTGGTGTGTTTTTCAAGACATTGGGCCAGGAGTCAAACCATGGTTGGCCATGTGGGATCCAGTTCTCTTAATCACTAGACTAGGACTGGCCCCCCCAAATACCATAGTTTGAAGTTCTGAACCTACAAGGTACAAGTGCTGTAATTTTTCTTATCAAGAGCCCATGATAGGGGCCAGCAGGTGGCATGGTGTGAAGGTGATGGACTCCCACATGGCTGACTGCAGTTTGAGTCTTAGAACTGCAGACTTGAAAATCATGCCAGGTGCATGTGCATACATGCCCACAATCCCCGGAGGAGATGCAAGAAAAGGGACTGTGGCGTGGTCATACTCCCAGGGGAAGACTTCTCACTTTCTCCTGTCTGTCTCTCTCTGTCTCCCTCTCTGGCAAGTACACGTGCCCTATGGAGAAAACCTAAAAATAAATAAATAAAAGAAACCCATAGTAAAGGTTAGGCCGGGCGGCATGCACCTGTAGTCCCAGCTACTCAGGAGACAGAGGTTCGTTACACAGCAAAACCTACAGACACTAGAAGCATGTGCAGAAGTACTGCTCGAGACACACAGAGATCTGACTCGAGAGGAAGAGGGGGAGGCCATATCAGGGATGTGCCTGCTAAGCTTCTCTCGTCCCCCACATTTATTACGACAAAGAGGAAAGAAAGTTAATTTTAGAGAGAGCTGCTTCTTAGAGGATTAGAAAGATAAGGGTAATTCCTGGAATAGGATGGTTTCAGTATCAATGAAGGTGTGGCTAAATGACACCAGAGGCTGGACAGCACACCTTGGAATTTGGAGAACACATTTATCAGATCACACACGCATCTAATGACCTTCTGTCATTTTCTTTCTTTGTTTTTAAAAAGGATTATTTATTGGGAACCAGCAGTTAGCATAATGGCTATGTCGCTGGACTCCCACGTAGTCGACCGCGGTTCGTGTCCCGGACCCGGTGGCTTAAAACTCATGCCGGGTGCGTTTGCATGCGTGCCCAAGATCCCGAGAGGAGAATGGAGGAGAAGGGATTGCAGCGTGACTATCCCCCCTGGGGAGTGATTTCTCGCTTTCTGTCTCTATGTCTCTCTCTGTCTGTCTGGCGAGCGCATGCGCCCTATAGCAAAAACCTCTCCAAA